TTGGGGGGGGGGGGGGTTTCAATAAATTGCTGATGTCTTCATACTTCTATCTCCGTCACCAGCTCTCTCTGTTTTATGTCACTCATACCGTCATTTGATGCACACACTTTCATTTCACAGTGGATTCTCTTCTTCTTCTTCTCTGCAGGTTCCAGGGTGGAAAGCGGGAGGAGCTGATCGGCATCACTTACAACCGTTTGATCCGGATGGATGCCAGCACTGGAGATGCTATCAAGACCTGGCGCTTCAGCAACATGAAACAGTGGAACGTCAACTGGGAAATCAAGATGGTAGGAAACCCACTGAACATGACCATTTTAATGTAATGTAGGCAGGTTTTGAAGAATATGGCATAAAAGCGATGATATATTTCTGGTTCTGCTGCATCGATTTTTATACTTTTGTAGGCAGAACAAGTACTTGCTGGTCTTCTCAGATAGTAAATTGAATAGCTTTGCATTTGGACTGTTTGGACTGAACAGAGGAAGACGTTGAATAAAGATCGCGAAAGGAATTTCTCAGACAGACATTTCACCAGACCAAACTATCAATTGAATGATCTATAAAATAATTAGCTGATTAACTGGTTATCATTAGCAGCCTTAGTTGATTGTAGCACTAAAAGCAATAAGCTAAAAGCATCTCAAAGCAGCCTAGAGCTGCTGTCGGTGGTTTGAATCTGCAGCACTAGCAAGCCGTCCATTTCACTGGGATGTCATTTGATTTAACTTTATTAAGAGAAACAATTTCTCAATGGAGGTGTAAGGAAAAAAACATTCCTCTCAAAGAACAGTTGGTGTTTGAGTGTATACATATTTCTTATTATGGATACCTGGCCTGGTTACCATATAGACTGACTGACTGTCTTATCTTGCACCTGTTCTCTACATTATCTGAAGTAGTTCATTGAATCAAAGGGCATCAGTAATATACATCACACAGTCCGCAGTACATCACCAAGAAACACGATTGCATTTCACTGGTATTCATTGAACCATGACTGACCGTGCCTCGCTCTGTGTGCTCAGGTGACGGTGGAATTTGCCGACGAGCCCAGTCTGTCTTTCATCTGTGCCGAGGTTGACTGTAAGGTGGTCCACGAGTTCATCGGCGGCTACATCTTCCTGTCCACTCGTGCCAAGGACCAGAACGAGTCTCTAGATGAGGAGATGTTCTATAAGCTGACCAGCGGCTGGGTCTGAGCTGCCCCGAACCAGACAGGGGTCAACGATTGTAGGTCAGGGGCCAGGAGGGGAGTGGCTGGGGGCGGGGGTGGAGGTTGGAACCACAGCATATGGGGTTATTTTATTCTCTTTTTCAGTCCTTTTAATTGTTTGGAGCTGTGCTGAAGAGTCCAGAACAGCACTACTATTGCCATGGCTGACACCGTTTTTATTGTTACAGTTGTTGATTTTTTTTTTTTGTTTATTTTTGCATTTACGCTGACAAAGTCATTTTTTACAACACTAATATGAATGCAGTCCACATGAACTTTTGAACCCCTGTGGTTGAGCAGAAGCAAACCCCGAACCAGGAAGCTTCTCTGTTTTCCATACGACCACCTGCCTCCTCTCCTCCTGGACTGACGGCCATCAACTTACGTCCATGACAACCCTTTAAACCCAATCAAACACCAGATTTAATCCCAAAGAATCTCTTTTTTTTCACTCTCTCTCTCTCTTACCGTCTTTTTTTCCCACTCTTCTATAACTGGACTAAAAGAGCTCACATCAAACTGTCATTAAATCACATTGTAGTCGTGGTGCCACAGATGCCTACCGTTATATCAAATTATTTATCCTAAAAGGCGGACTTCATCAGAGAGTCCGATCAGAAGGGTGTCTGTAAAAGCAGTGGCCACCGATCGCAGCACTACATGTCCATCCTATCCACTCTATGAAGGGTTTGATCTCTTTGAAGTCACATGTAAGCACTTCGACAGTATACAGTCCTGTTTATGAATAAGCTGTTGTTAAATTTCCTTTTTGCTTTTTGATGTCTGTTGTCTTTGTTTCAGAGCTTGTGTCGAGTCTCCGCTGTGTCGAGTCTCTCTATTGAAATCTCATTGTATTAGCTGACAGGTGTGACATGTGAGAGCCTGAGGTTTGTTTCGTATTTAACAGACTGCTAATTGTAAGCGTGTCTGAAAACACTACAGTTCCATGCACTGGGATGAGTGTCCTGTGGGTTTGAGAATATTTTCCAGCTGATGTAAATGTCGTCTCTGCAAAAATGTTCATCTTAGAAAGGTCATTAACTCAAGTTTCTTAAAAAGAAGTTTTAAAAAAACCTGTTTTTAAAAATATTTGAAGATGTAACCCGAAGCTTTTCCCAACTTAAGGCAGTCCCCCTCTGACTGGGAAGGCGTGACCTGGACGTGCACATTCAAACATTATGTGCCAAAGTGCATTAATATTTTTGCCAAACATGTCTGTTTATGGCTGCTGTTCCGACCACGTTGCTAAATCTCAACAGCATGTTAGAAATTGCATCCAGAGATTTAAAAACCCGACATCTCATTGCTCAAGTGCATGTAGACTACATAACAGGAGGGCGCATTACTCCTTTGTTCCACCTTTTTACTGAATTGCCATTCTGTTTCTCACACCATATAGTATTATTATTATTATTATTATTATTATAGTTTTTATCATTACACACCAGCATAAGGTCACTGAGTTTGAAGAATGAATATGCAACCCTTTTTTTTTCTCCTGTCCTCAGTATGAAGGATCAGTAAATGAAGTATTATTTTTTGTAACTAATGTAAAAACACAAACGTTTTATAGAATTGTACAGTTTTTTTTTCTGCTTTTTGGGTAAGAGGGGGGAAGCCATCTGTCAACATGTTAGTATTCAGAATTGTGCCTGCCTATGTTGTGGTCTTACTGAGTTTTCAGATGAAGATATATATGAATATATATGAAGATAACACTAGTCTCAAACTCCAGGTTTGATTAAGATATTTGTGGAGTACATATTATAATTTTTTTTAAAATACAGATATGTATGCCTTCTCAATGTGCTCTTTTTTTCTTGCATTTCTGCTTCATTTTATTGATTTTCTTCTTTCTCTTCTGCCACTCGCCGATCACCATTTGTGGCCCCGAGTTGTGTTTTTAGCTCATTCTTTATGACTGACAGTGATACTTAATGTGCTGCAAATTTGATTTGCTTAGCGCCTTTTTTAAAACACTTCACTTATTTGTCTGGTTTTGTCACAACTGAAGTGTGCCATTTAATAATGTCCATATGAAGGAGACCCACATTGTTTAGACCCTGGAGTTTGAGACAAATCAGCAAAAGTGAACAGAGGAAAGAGAAGCCTAGTCTGTTTTTATTTTCTCTGATGTTGTTTTTGTTTGCCTCCAGCATCAGGAGCGGCAGTGCATGTCCTGCTGTTCTGTTTGACTGTAAAAAATGCATTTATTTTAAAAAATAAAGTAATTTTTATTTAAAGAAGCGTTTTCTGTTTTTGATTTTCCCTAATGCAGAATGTGAAGGGATAAGGCTGGTATAACTAATTTATATTTTACTTATTAATGTTGATGTGCTTACATCCCAGCTCTCTGTGGCACTCACCCCCAAGCCCATTCATTCACCGGTCACAAATGTATAGTTTCATATTTTAAAAAAAGGCTGGTCATTGTGGTAATGTTTTAACGTGCCTGTGTTAGTCTATTTTCAGCCTTAATACATATCCATATACATAATGTGCTAGTGAGTATTAACAGCAGCAGGTTGTATGTGGGCTCATGGTAATGAAGGAACATGTGATTGAGGAACACTGATTCCTGTATTAAGACACTGATGGAGGTCTGGTCCATAAGACAGTGATAGGCTATATCAGGCTATGCCTACACAGGTTATAGTTTATAGGATCTCTTTGTTTTGTGTTTGGTCCCTACATGGGAATTATTGACCATAAAAACAATATAGAATCCTGTCAAATGGGACTCGCTGCTTTAGTCTTAAAGCCCTTTTTATTAGGTTCCATGCTGCCTCATCGGATCTACTGACAAAAGGCAAAACTGTAGTTAACTGCACAGAAACTCATACTAATAATACAAAAAGAAAAAAAAATCCAAAAATGTATATATATAGTTATCAATATAGTTATCGTATAGATTTATGATTTTATGATCACATCTGCGTTGAGCAAAGTAAGATGGGCTTGTTTCTTCTCGTCTGTGTACATGTTTAAAAAGCAAAATCAGTATGGCTTATGCTCTCAATATTTTACAGATGTTGGTTCCCAGAAATAGGACAGAACTTGACAAAAATGTTTTTAAATAAGCTGCCCCCTCTTCCTGGAATAATGTACAGAAGACCTTCACATTGTCAGAGTTCATTACTAGGGACAATATAAATTAATTTTAAAGGATTGTAAATTAGTACTCTCAGTCAATGTCATTGTCATTGCAGTTGTTTATTGTTTATGCTTCATAATTGATTTTGTCCCTGAGCTTGTATTCCATATTAACTGGATATTGTGTTCAGTCATTTGTAGTGTGTGACGGTTGTATATAAGATAAAGAAAATTAAGCCATGGTATTAATAAATGACAACTAATGATGATAGAGAACATCATATATCTTCCTTCACACATACAATATGTGCACTGGTTATGTTTCTCCACTAGAGGGCAGTGCACAACCATCTGTGCTCTCTACCTCTCCACGGCAATCTCGTGCTCGGTGCATTCCAAACTTCTCCAAAGGGTTCTTTTCCGGAATCTGACATGTTTACCTGGCATCCCAGCAGAAAACCAAGTGCCAGATTGAGGAGGAGATTAGATCAGAGAACGCCTGCAGACAGTCTGTCTATTTGCAGGCTTTTGCCCACAGTGGACACGGCGCACGTCCGTCTGTCACCTGCTGAGCAGCTGGGATAAAGAGGTGTTGGTGGCCATGATAACTGAGGAGATGCTCACAGCACCTGATGTCCACTGTAGTATTGCGTAGAATGGCAGGCCAGACAGCGTGGGTTAAAGAAGAAAGGTTTTAGAAAGATGATTGTGAGCACAGGTGACAGTTTAAAGGCTGGGCAATTGCTAGTGTGAGACGTCCGGTCAAATAAACAGCCTGGGAAGGAGGGCAATCAGTGTGAACAAAAGAGCTCTAATTGGCATATCATCAAACACTGTTCATTTTCCATTTTCTCTGAAATGTTAATAATACTAATTCTGGGGCCCACGTGTATTAAGAATGTCCCTGCAATCAAAAATAGGTTAAAAAAAACAATCTCCTCTGGTTGGTGTGGTGGTGGTATTTATGCACAGTTCATCTAATAATTCAGTTTTGAAGACTCTAGCAATCAACCCTAAAGTATTCTATCATTAATAGCTGACACTATATTTCAACAGCCCATGAGCTCGTATCCACCCTCCAGTCATTTGTGAGATTAGATGAGGTATGCAGCATTGAAGTGGGAACAATGAATCGAATTCTGCAAGTGCATCCTGTTCCTGTGGAAGATGGGTCTCAACCCAGCACTTAAACTGGCAGTTCTGACAGCAGGAACTTCCAAGAAAGCTTTTGTAGCACACGAGCAAATCAAAATTAATTTGTAGACGGGACATGGAAGCATACAACTATCCTCTGTGGCCTCTTATGTTCCCCATATAGCCCATACTCCAGTGGGATCTGTCCCGTGGTGTGTGTGGGAAGTAAAAGACGTCTCAACGATGGCTCCACCTAGTGACGTAGAATTCCACAGACCCCTTGAGGATGACGGCACTAATGTGACAGAAGAAGAAGGGAAAAAAAAGCGGGAGGAGGCTTGAGGATGACATTTATAGATTGCGCTGCTCACAAACAATTAAAATGCAGGAAGTCAAAACATAAAAGAAGTGACACACTAGAGGGAGCAAAGTTGCACCTGTTGCCATTCAACACAGCAACTTCCTGGCTGAACCGAGCGCATAGTTCCCTCTCAAGGAAGTGCTGCTCTGATTTCCTCATTCCTGAAGTTCACAGCCAGTCAAAGTCATTGTTAATGTCATGGGCATCTCTCTCTAGGAAAGTGTTTTTGACATTTACCCCTCTCGCCCGCAGTGAGTGGAGCGCTGTAGATAATGTCAGCCATCACAGCAGATGTGTTGATTAGCTGGTTTCAGGTAAGCCTTGAAATTTCCTTGAAGAGAACTCTGTCTCTTCTCTTTAGACCACTCTTTTGACCTTGTCTAGATCAATTGTCTTTTATTCTCTTTTTCTAACTGCCGTCACCAACTGTCAAGAGATAATTGTCAGAGTACATTCTGTGGTGGCTGGAGGTTAAAATGCTTGCTGCTGAGATCTTGCAGGTTTTTAACCATGGTCATTAATAGATTCCTTTTGACTTTAGACTGACTTTGTTTTTTATTAAGTGCCATCAGCAAGTTGAGATTTCTACTTACCCAGTGAAATATCTCATCATATATATGGTAGGTTGGCACCAAAATGCATCCACACATGATAAATCTTAATGACATTGGTGAACTTCTGACTTTTCCTCAAGCACCACCGTTAGGTTTGATGTGAAATGTCTCTATGGCAGTTAGATGGATTACCCTAACATTTGGTACAGACATCCATTTTCCCCTCAAGATGAATTCCAATGACTTTGGTGATCCCCTGACCTAATAAGCAAATTTTAGCATGATAACAAGCTAAACTAATATGGTGAACAGGATGAAACATAATTAAAAACATCACGATGTAGCAATGCCTCATAGGGTAAAGCCTCACAGACCTACATGGCTGTAGACCTGTAGTTTGGTTCTTTATGCCGTTTTTCTTTAATTTGCTTATCTACGTATTTTTCTTAATTAATGCCATAACTTCATTTTGCAAAGTAAATATTTGTTCTGCATAATTGAGAGTCTTGGATATTTTGGTTTGTAAATCAAAAACAAATGTCATAAACTTTAATCACTAAGTAGTCTGGTGTGTTTCCAGTGTGTGTGCCGCATTCATTCCCTCATGTGATTCTTGCAAGCCAAACCATTTTGGAAGCCTACACTGCACAGCAACACTATTTATACCTCTTTGCTGGAAAAAAAATTAATGTAATACTCGTACTGAAAAGTCCTACTTGTTAAAAGGCAACAGGCGTGTAAACAATGTAGGATTTATTTATTTATTTATTCCAGTCATTATTATTCTCGGCAGTTCGGTCTAGATATGTTTCCATGGAAAAGGCCTGGTCTGGGCTAAACACTCAAGAGTGCCAAGACTCTTATCTTAATGTCATCAATTACACTCTGGAGCTGCTAAACTGAGTTTAAAGGCTCTAGAAAACATGTGTTTTGGTCAAAGCTCTTTGAGGTTCAAAGGCTGAATCAAGTCTCTAAGCTCACAAATTCATGTTTAATATTGCCATCGATTAATCACATCAAGTTTGTCAGATTGGTATTGGTGTATTCTAACTGGGGGATTCTATTTCAGGGAGATATTATGTGAATAAGTTTTTGTTGTTGCTGACTCATGCACTATAAGTTGTCTCATTTATTGGTACAAGAGAGATTATTCATCTCCTGTTCTTGTCGTAATAGAAACATGAAAACTGTTTTGTCCATAAACAACATTTGACACCACTATATCTCATCCGTTGGATGATTACTGGAAGACTTAGGTCATCCACCTTGTTAGTCGTGCCTTGAAGTCCAGGACATCACGCATGCAGTTGCAGAAATTACAAGCATGTCATTAAGGTCCTAGAGCTGATCCAGAGGGTGTCCTCTTAGCTGATGAGGTCATGTCACATGGTGTTTATAGAGATGAGATGGGCCTGTTGTGAGCCAAGGCGCTTGCATCATCACTTTCTGCAGCACGCAAGTGTTTTATGGTCATGCATACATATAGTGCACGAGTATACGCAATGTGTGTGCAGCAAATTACAGCTAGAGCCACAGATGTTGTGTACTCCAGCTCACGTGACATTTCAAGTTGAATCCTCTTTTGGGCTATTTGCTGTGGGAATCTTTTCTAAAGTAATCCACTTCTCCCCAAGGGACGTTTTGGCTTTAAGCACTGTTGCACAAAATTGGATAATTTGCATCACCTCACTCACTAAAACCTGTTTTGTTCGGCTAAATCTTGTTTTTCAGCGGAGTTAATGTAATTTAAAGGGCTGTTGTTGTCGGGGAATACATTTGGAACAAACAGACAAGTGTCAGGTTCCTTGTTTTTTCTTTAGGAGGCGGTGGGATAACCTGTCTTTGCCTGGGGCATGAAGTGTGAGTCTGTCAACTAAGAAACAGATGTATCCTGGGAGATATTTTGTCAAAATCCTAACACTGCAAGAATAAATGAATGTTGCTACTGAAAAAAGTAAATAAGCTGAAATGTGTCACTATGGGCATTTTTATTATTTTATTTATATATATATTATTATTATTATTATATTATTAATTAAAGACATTCTACTTTGTATGAACAATGCCTCACTGTAACATGCTGAGATAATTCAGG